TTTCTCTGTCACCCAGGCTGGAGTGTAGTGGCACGATCTCGACTCACTGCACCCTCTCCCTCCCAGGTTCAAGCGATTCCCCTGCCTCAGCCCCCTGAGTAGCTGGGACTACAGGCGCCTGCCAACACACCCGGCTAATTTTCATATTTTTAGTAGAGACGGGTTTCACCATGTTGGTCAGGCTGGTCGTGAACTCCTGACCTCGTGATCTGCCTGCCTTGGCCTCCCAAAGTGCTGGGATTACAGGCATAAGCCACTTCACCCAGACCAAGAACTGAATTCTTGAGCTCCCCACACAAATAATGCTCCATCATGGTCTTCCCCAGCTCCATCACTGGCAACCACATCCTTAAAATTGGCCAGGTTACAACCCCTCCTCTCTCAAATTCCACCATCAATCCATCTGCAAATCCTTCTGAAATATATCCAGATCTGATCGCTTCTTACCACCTCCATCGTTTCCACTCTGGTCCAGTCCACTGTGATCTCCTCCCGTTCGCCCACATCCAGTCTCTTCTCAAGGTAACTGGACCTGATAAACTGCAAAGCAAATCGCATCACACCTCTCAGTACAACCTTCTGGCTTCTATTCATCTCGTTCAGAGGAAAAACTAGAGTCCTACACAGTCAGCCTCACTCTGCTTTGCTCACTCCAGTAAGTTCCTCTCACCATTCTGTTTAAAATTACAGTATTCTTCAACACACACACACAAATTCCATATTTCTTCTCATGCTTTACGTTTTTTCTCCAAAGCATTTATTGCCTTTGAACATATATAGTTTATTTAGTTTCTTATCTGTCTCTCCTCATGTGACAGAGTCAGCTTGCTAATTACCAAATACTCCTGTTTGCTGCTGGGAACTACATTTGCCGGATGTGCCCTTGCATTTGGCTGGGCCATGTGATTCTTGCCAATGGACATGGAGCAGAAATTGGACTCTGAATGAACACTCAGAAACTGGCTTGGCCAAAACCACCTGCACTGGACTCTAAGTTGAGAAGACAATAGATCTTTTTTTTCTTTTTTATAGACAGTTTCACTCTTTTCGCCTAGGCTGGAGTGCAGTGGTGCAATCTCAGCTCACTGCAACCTCGGCTCCCTGCAACCTCCGCCTCCTGAGTTCAAGTGATTCTCCTGCCTCAGCTTCCCAAGTAGCTGGGACTACGGGCACCCACCACCCCTGACTAATTTTTGTATTATTAGTAGAGACAGGCTTTCAACACATTGGCCAGGCTGGTCTGGAACTCCTGACCTCAGGTGATCTGCCTGCCTCAGCCTCCAAAAGTGCTGGGATTAGAGGCATGAGCCACCACCCCTGGCCAATAGATCTTTAGGATGTTAATCCACATAGCATCTAGCACCTCAATTACAGTACCTTAGTTACTGTGGCCTACTAGAATGGAAGCTCAGTGAGGGTATGAATGGATGGATGTAGTGCTCATTAATGTCTCCTCTGCTTAGAACAAAGCTTGACATAGTATAAGTACTTAATAAATATTTATTGAATGAGT